AGGATGGGGAGGATGATTAGATTTAGGGTGTATATACAAAGGATTAGTATTGGGATTTTTGTAAGGTAGGTATATATTATTCATTCTTATGGTTATAAAAAATTCTACAACCTTTAAAATTGATAAAATTGGAAAACTTTTACACAGGGAATTTAAATGCCTGAACTTGAAAATTACTGTAAGTACTAAATTGAGAAAAATAAACTTTGTTGATGGTTTTTCTATTATATATTTAAATATAAATTGTCCAATGTTTGAGTATGTTCAGCTACCACTAGGCATTATAAAAAAACTTTTATTTTGATTTTTTGTGCTAGGATGACCTGTGAAGATGCAGAAATGGGATTTTTGAAAATATAGAAACTAAGTTACACATATGCAAAAAAAATAAAACAAAACAAAAAACAAAAGCCCGATAATGCAATCAGAAAATCCTTTGTGACTTTAAGGTTGAAATGGATGAAATGAACTGTAGCATTGCTAGCGGTTGAAAGGATACTGAAAAGGGTGTGGTATATTTGATGTGACTTACAGAAAATTTTTGATGGATTCTGGGTAAATGCCATTATTAGTTTTGTTCCAATTCCAGCTCATAATTTCAGTTTTGTTTATCTTGAGTCCAATGTCTTGTAATGCTTGACAGAGGAAGATCATTATCCCAACTATGAATACCTATTCTATCAGCATAGCCCCTCATTCCAACCTCATCATTAGTACATTAGCCTCAAGGAAGGAAAGCAGGAATGCAGTTTTTCTCAAATATCAATGCAAAAGAAATATGAAGAATTGGAAATCTTAGAAAGAATTTAAACCATCCAGAAATCAGTGTTATAAAAAATCAACTAGAATACCGAATAAATTATTTAAATATTGAGGAAACTTACTGTCACCTGATCTCCTCTGAAAGCTGTCATTTCTTCTCTTTTAAGAGTCATGTCATAGGCAATCATTTTTTTTCTATAATATCTGTTTGCCTTCTCCTTCACTCATTACTATCCAAGGCTAGAGAGCTCTGTTTGATTTGCTTACAGCTATCCATTTACACAAACTCATTACATAGGTTACTTACTGTTTCCCTCTGTCCCTCTTGCCTTAAATATGTCCTGTAAGTGTCAAATTCTCCAAACCCTCTTTTCTCATTATGTGTGTCTGTTCTGTCATCTATTTACACAAGTTTATTTGGTAGTTTACTTGCTGTTTCCCTCTTGCTTTAGATATTTCCTGTGAGTGTCAAATTCTCCAAGCTCTCTTTCCTCATTATGTGTGCCTGTTTTCCTTTGTCTCTCTTGCTTTCAATATGTTCTGTGAGAGTCCAATTTCCAAGACTTTTGCATCTTAGAAATTTCAACTGTTTCTTTTTGATTCTAAGTATAAGCGACTTTTTTGTTCCCATTTACCTAAAACTTTTTCATTACTCACATTTTCAATCCATGGTATTCTTTTAGTCCAAAGTCAATATAAATGGTCTCAGCTATTTGGATGGCGATTCCATTTTCTGTATTGTTAACATCATCTACCGATGGTGTCAAAACTCTCTGAGTACAAAATGAAGAGTAGAAGAAGATACAGGAATTGAAAGGACAAATAAGAGATAAAACAAAAAAGAAAAATATAACAAGTAAATGTTATTTTCACAACAAAATAAAAACCTTGAAATCAAGAATAAAAACTAAAAAACAAGAAAGAGATAAAGCAAAGATATGGTTGCACTTAGAGACTGCAGCATAAACTTAAATCTGCAAACCATATTCTTCAGGCACTGGAAATGTCCAAACAGATTATTTGTCACATTCTTGGAATACCAGGAATAGGCAAACACTCTTGTTTGAATAGGAAATCAACCAATCACTGTAAAAGTTGGAGGTGTGATAAAAATGTTCTTCTGGAAATGATGGCTTCCAATAAACACATTTCATACTGAGTAAAGTGGAAATCTGACCACTTTTTGCATAAAGCATGTCAGTGTGGAACTTTAAGTGAAAAAGTCTTAACTGTACAAGTGCTGGAAAGTATGTAGCTTTCCAGTTAATGATGAGTGGGAATCGTGTTATAAACTGTGGAAAGTGTTTTCTCTTCTACCTTGATTTATGTTCTTTTATAATCCAGCATCTTTTGAACATAAAATCTGACAGTTTTTGCTTAAGAAGCATATTGCTATTATTTGAGTATAACACGGCAGAAAGCTTTGGAGAAAATTTAAAAAAAGAAGTGATTTTTTCTGTTTTGTGAAAACAGTCTGCCCTGGAAAAAAATTATCAAACAACCATTTCACACATGAGAAAAATTTTGGCTAAAAGTTGCCTAGCAAATGTTGACTCGATTTTTCTGTTCTATGATTTCATAAAATAACAGAAACAATTATCTTATTATTATTTTATCCCTTTACAGATGAAGAAGAGACAACAGAAATGTGGTTCTACCGAAGGATGCTGAGAATACCATAGACCAAACATGTGAGTAATAAGGAAGTTTTAAGAAAACTGGAAATAAAAAAAGGACACTTATGCTTAGAATCTGAAAGAAACAATTGGAATTTCTAGGGCACAAAATGAGGAAAGAGGTCTAGAAGAATGTAGCACTCATAGGATGTCCTGAAGGTAAGTCAGATAGAGGAAAGTAGCGAATAATGTACCTAAGAAGTTGTTTAAATAGTTAGCTGAACAGGGATTAGGAGATATTGCAAAAAAAAGCCTTACTAAGATCTATAAATGGCAGGAAGTTGTGGAGAACCATGATCACTCATGTACTGAAGGAACACAGCACATAGAAAGAGAATCATTACTTGATGTTGTGTTATACCTGACGTACCTATTCTATTATTAATAGACTCTCCCACACATAATAAGTAGTAGTAGTAGTAGTGGTTGTCAGTTGGGCTCAGTGGTGTTGAGCGAGTCAGTCGATGTCGGACATTGGAGTATCATCCATCACAACTAGATTTGCTGCGTCATTAACTCTTATTTCAAGTTCCTAACGTTTTTTATGTCAAACCTAATTTAGGATGACATTGAAATACAAGCCTCCACTGTGAAAACTACTCTACAACATGTTGATATCTCCTGTGTGTCTCACAAGGTTTTCTGATTGAAATTTGCCTTTTTAAAAGTCTTCAAGAAATTTGTATTAATGTCTCACTGAATCTCATATTGATAGAAAACTGTTTTTAAATGTTTTGTCACAAATTCACAAGGATCCTCATCATAGTTTGCAAAATTATTTCTATCACTTGATGATGTGATAAGAGCCTTAGAGATACTTGAAGAAGTATCAATTCAATTGCCTCAAGCTAATTTCTGAATGATGGTAAGAAGGCAACATAAAATTAAAGCTTTGAGCCAAAAATATTCTTTTTTTTCTTTAATCCTTGGAGCATAATTATTGTACCTACAAAGAGTGAACAAAATTTACTGTCAAAAAGACAGTGTCATGGCTTGTGCCATAATTAAACTAGCTTACTAAACATAGGCATTTGATATAGAGTGATGAATAGCAAACCCGACTTAGATGCTATTAGTAGTACAATGAATTTGATCCTTACTAAGTGTCCCTCTCTTGTGAATTTGTGTCAGATTTAGACATAAGAATCTGATTGTGATCATTTTGGAACAGAGCCTTTATGATAAAATAACTGACTTATAAAACTAAGAACATAAAAACTGGAATAATTTACATTCATTATTGGTAAACTAATTTTTATAAACAACTTTACATTATAAAAAATATAAATATAATAACTTGAAATTATTTATTTTTTATTCATGTCTAAATAATCTAAATAAATAAACGGCAAATTTTGTCTGTCTGTCTGTGTGTGAGAAACCACTTTAACTTGGGCCACACTTGCTCTACATAGATATATTATAGCTTTTTGGAATCAGGATGATCTCAGGGTTGAAAATCTACCCTTCAACCGGTGCCTGAACATCTGGCCTTGTGATTTGTGTCTGGATGAGGCAGGAACAGTTAAAAATTCAAATTTTAAAATAAATGAAAAAAAATTAGTGATTTTAAAAGGTTTTAAGTTATATTGAGTTTAAAGTAACACAAAAAACTTTGTGAATTTAAAAAAATTGTTTCAAATTCAGTTTAAAATATTTTTAAAATTTTGTGAATTGAGGAAATCAATTTTATTTCTTCAGAATGACAAGGAATCAGAGTTAAAGTGAAAGGTTTCATGACGTGAAGTTTTGAAATTCTGCAGAGTTTGTTATTTGAAGAACTCAACTTTTAGCCTGAATTGGAATTTCCACCAAAATCAGAATTTCAGCCCAAATAGGACTTTTAGCCCAAATTGGTCTTTTGGCCAGAATTGAACTTATAATCCAAATCAGAGTTAAAATGAAGGTTTGAAGTTCCATGGAGAGAATTGAGGAATTCAAAATTATTTCTTCAAGATTGTCAATACTGTTTTCTAAGCTGGACCAGAGATTCCTTTAGTTTTGGGTCAGAGGAGCTAGCTCAAAGGTCTACAGGGAGAGTGTAAATAAAATGTTTAAAATTCTTAAAACAATAATGTTTGATAACATTATTCATGATTACAATGAATGAGTTTCCTTTGTACTTAATTCCTGGCTATTTTTATAACAATTATTATTTTACTTATTATCAAATCAAGATTTGTCTGATATTAATTAACTAATTTTATTAAGGACATTGAATGAATTGAACTCATATGAAAATCTATATCTGATGAGGTTATTTAAGAACACATTTTCAGGTTAATATTATAATTTTGTACAATGTTATGTGGTTATACAATAGTACTTCTAGTGTAACCTTTTCTGTGTTCAATTTCCTTACCTCCTATACTAAATTTGTTATAACTCATCCATACATGAAGGTGTTTGAAGTGTTTAATATGTTTTAATCTACATTCTGAATTTTTATGATAGATGGATTCAGAATATGTTCCATCATTACTATCATTGCAATTCCAGATCATAGTTTCTGTTTGAAAATTTTTTATCTTAAGTTCTACTTCTTGGAACAATGGGCTTAGAGCCATATCATATTGAAACACTGGTTGTTGTAGGATCCCAGAAGTTAAGCAACATCGATCCTGGTCAGTACCTAGATAGGTGACTGCTTGGGAATACCAGGTGCTGTAAACTTGGATGTTCATATAGTTTAATAGATATCAGCTTAATAGATAACAGATTAACATTTTGTTTTTTCTGTAAATTAGATTTCTCAAGTCCACTAAATATTATAGATCATTCTACTACTGATGGGAGTTTCCTTCCAAATCTTTTTTTTTTGGCAGTTTGGGAAAGTTAACATCTTGATTATATCAATATTTTCTCTTTTAATTAAATATGTTAATGACTTTTATTGTTTCAAGTATTCAAGTTATGTATTTTTTTCAATATTTGATAAATCTCTTTGTGATTTTGTAGTACCAGTCTGTAGGATCTGATGAAGTATTGTCTTTTTTTTTAAGATTCATTGGATTTATTCATTTGAAGTCATCTTTAATCATTAACCTTAGAAAATAGTTGTATACAGATAACTATAGACTAGACTTTTCTGAATGTGTTGGTCACCATGCACAAGATCCATATAAGTGTCTACTACTGATGAGGTAATTTAAGAATATGACTTAGATTTATACTTTTGTTTAGTAGCATATTACAATGTTGAGCAATAATAATCCTAGCATAGACTATCCTATGTTAAATTACCTTATCTCCTATACTAAATCTGTTATAACTGATCCATGGCTTGTCGCTTTTTGACCATTGTATTATTTAGACAAATATATACATGTAGATATATGCATACAGCTGTTTGCCTTTCATTTGTACAAGAGAGTTAGAACATATTAAACTGACCACTTGATAAAATGTTATTAAGATTATTTTCAAATCATTTTTCAAAGTTGAAAGGAAAATATTGGTAAACACTACCTGGATTAAGAAACCCTCTCCTTGTGGATGTTAACCTAATGTTATAAACATGCATATGGTAATATGGAAGAACAAATGAAACAACAGTACCATTGGTGAGGTGAAAAAAAAAAGAAAGCAAGAATTGAAAATATAAAATTATTTTGTATTGCCAATACAGTGGATATGAAAAGAATGTCTTTATGCAGGCAGTGTGCTGCAAAGTGAAGGAGGATGGAGTTTCTAAGGCCTGGAGTTGAGCTGTTTGTCAGATTGGTTGACCAGGGCCATGGTAGTGAGATCAAGAGAGGCCTGGAGTGGATTAGTGAATCTGGCTCAGTTGTTTATGGGTAGCTTTCTTAAATCAAATGTGGTGGCTATTAGATATATCTTTTTTCATGTTTTTTCTTTGAAAGTAACGTTCATAATTGGCTTCTTTGATGTTGTGTTTTATATTTTTTGAGGAGATTTTGGGGATCAGATATGATGCTTGGAACACCTGTGAAGTGGAGAAATTTTTTTTTATTTTTGGTTTTGCTTTCTTAGCATTTACATCTGGCCAGTGTGTCAAGTGAATAAGAAAGAGATCAAATTTGAATCATAGTATAACACTAAGAAAAGCCCAATAAAGCATGAACTAAAATGCTGTGGTAACAATAAAACAGAAAAGATAATTCAATCAAAAGACCAAACAGCTCTTAAAGAAAGACTTTTTAAAAAGCATATGATTCTAAAAGCCAATTATTTATGAAAGAGTTACATAATGTCATACTCACAATAAACTGTCATTGTTTGAGACACATTCTTGCTAAGACCTGGGTGAAGTCCTTCACAAATGCACAATTTCTGGTTAAGGTCCCGTTTGACATCAATTGCCAGTAGAGTGTTTGATACCCCAATGCTGATGGTGGTACCACAAGAGAGGCGTACAGGAGCTGCTGGAATACCGCCAGACCAGTTGCAGGACACAAGTAATCGGTCATTTTCAAACAGAGGATGAGATGGATCAAAACCTTCAATTAAAGGTTCTCCTGGAGGTATGGCTGAAATGACAAATATATACAATTATATAATTAAAAGATTTAAGAAATAAATACAAGAAAGAAAATGCATGATTTTGGCTATAATAAATTCAGACAGAAAGTCATTAAAAAGAAGATACCTGTTGAATATCAGTTTGTGAGTTTATCAAAAGTATCTATTTATAGTTATGCTTGTCTCTCCCTTTCTTAGTTTGCATGACCATTACATCTTGTCAGTACCTCATAAATAAGAGGGGGAAAAGGCACTACTTGGTTTCAGTAAGAAAATGAATAAATGAAAGAATAGAAGATAGAAGTGTTTGACTGTTTCAGTGAAATGAAAAAAAGTTTGTCAATTTCAAATCCAGAGACGGATATGCAATGTGATTGGTCCTGATCTGGCAGCTCATCTACAGTTGCTCTCTCACAGACATACTGTCACCTCCCTCTGTCTTTTCTACAAATATTTTCATGCTAACTGCTCCGATGAGATACTTTCACTAGTTCCCAGACTGCATGAATTTAAGTGTTGCTACTAGGCTCGCATCACGGTCCCATACTTTCACTGTCAAAACGGTTAAATGTGGCCGTCTCTTCTACTGCAATAGCTTCATGTCTTGCACCTCCCATCTGCAGAATTCCCTTCCTATTACTTGTTTCCCTGAAAGCTATAATCTCCAACTATTCAAATATAATGTCAATCAAAATCTCCAGATGCCTTGATCTATTCCCTATCCTTCTCTTCATCCTTTCCTCCATCACACCTCTTTACTCTCGCTCACACTCTCTGTAACCCCTTGTGTGCTAGCGGCATCCCACCTTGCTTGGAATGAGATGCTTAAAAAAAAAAAAATCTTTTCATTTGTGCTCACTTTTTAAAATAACAAGTAGCTATCATATTTATAATTGTTATTGCAATATTTTGTTAAAGTTGTTAAGCTCAAATATTTAATGATGTGATAGGGGAATTTCTACAGATATTTTATTGTTGTAAAACTTGCCATGAGCTTATTCAATCATTGACTGAAGAATTAAGATTCATCAGAAAACTAAAATAGGAAAACTGTGAAATTTTCATGTCTTTCTAGTTACAGATAATTACTTTGGTTATTATGTTCTACTAGTTAATTTGATTGCTTCTAGTATTTAACTACCAGTTAATTATATGCTTCTATTAGTTAATTTAACATTTTATCTTCTCATAAACTGGCTCTTACTGATTACAGATTCATCAGTAAAACATGTCAAAATAGAAATTTTCCAAATTGTATCATATATTTACCATTTTATTCAATTCTCAATCAACTTTATTTCCTGTCATTTTTAGTGTATGAGATATCAACAGTTCAGTGTAAACCTGAAGAACCACAGGATTAATTACTTCAAAGCCATTTTTATCCATTGATCTGAGAGTGTGTTTATATACAGCTGACAGTTTAGATATTTTCTGAAAGAGTTCATGTTAATGTTACAGCTGAATGAATTTGACTTTTTCAATAAGTAGCTACTGATACCATTTACCCAGTATAATGTTATCAATGTGCAGATTAATAAAAAAAATATGAGACTAAATCATATACTACACCTGAATAATTTGACACATGTGACTCAGAGAGAAGTTGTTCACAACACAATAACCTATATAACTCCAAGAAATGCCAGGAAATGCACAACATGCTATTCTGGCAATTACTGGACAAGAGAATAATTTGATTGATTTGAAGGTCAATAAAATTGGTAGAGAAATGTCAACAGAAATGAGAATCCTTCAAAATGTGCCAGTGATATGATTAATATTAACAAAATAGAATTGTAAAGAATTTTATTAGATAAAGATCACAGAGGAGAAGTAAAAACATGAAATAATATAATAAGCAGACAGCACACTTCAATATACTGTCTCTTGTGGTGAAATATATTTTATTTAATGTAAGCAGTTTTTAATCTTTTCTTGCAGTAAGGGCTGTATAGTATTTTGGTCAGTTAGTCAGTTATGTGCCATGTGTAATACACACTTGAGCAATCATGTATCTTTTGATACATGACTGACGAGGCAGATTTTTCCCGCAGTAGGTTGCCATTTCTTTCTGCAGTAGACCAGTTGCCATCCAAGGCTATAGAACCCAGTCTATACTGTTATTTACCCATAGGGGTAGAAGAGGACTTATATCTTTCCCAATGGTACTAGTATGTAACTGAATGTAATGGATTCAACTGGAATTCGAACTCGGCACTCTGATTCCTCAATCCGAGCCATTATCCACTACTCCACCATGTATCCCATGTATTTTGGTACAATTTATTAATAATTGTTTTGTTTATAGTTGCATTTCTGTTGTTTGTAATGTGAGGATAGATATGTGCATGAACTGCACCAAATTTTGATAAGTAACAAGTTCATCTATGAGAGTGTGTGGTAAATGTGTCACCAATGCAAGAATTTAATTTTTTTTTTGTTACTGATATTGTAGATGTAATCTCCCAAATAATATGTGAATTCATAAACAATATAGTTTTTGTCTATATTTCTGAGATGAAATGTTTTAACTATTTACATCATTTGGACTGCTGCTCTCATCTTTATTGCCATATTTACAATGTTTCGGCCATTGCATGCCCCGGTCATCTTCAGGTGTTATACAAAAAGGGTACAAAATGATAACAAGACTCAGAAAACAGCCTCAGTCTGCCTAACCTATATGAAGGGTTTATTGGTAAAGATACAAAAGATCTGTGGTCTATATAACATCCAGACACTATGAAGACATCTCTTCCAAGTAAGACCATCCATAGGGGAGAACATGATTAAGAACTGTGTGTATGCCATCCCATGCATCTGTGGCAAGAAATATAAAGGAGAAGCAGGCTGTCCATTTAAAATGAGACTTAAGGAAACCTGTAAAGCCATAACATGAGAGGAAATAGAAAAATCATGCATGTCTGATCATATATGGAGGGAAAAAATGGGACACCACTTTCTGTGGGATGAAGTTGAGACAATAGACAGAGAACATCACTGGAAAATACAAAAACCTAAGGAATCAGTGCATATGCTAAGCCACAAAACTTCCTAAGCCAGCCAAGCATAGACAAAAATAAAATATGGGAACCAGCAATATAGAGAGCTAGAGAAAAACATCAATAAAAAAAAATGTAATATGAGCTATTTTTTATTAAAAATTGCATTAGGTTTATAAATCC